TGTTGTTGTGTTTACATCTCTGTTAACTGTTTGTGAAGCACAGCTAAGGGTTAGTCAGGCTCTTCTTTGTGGTTGTTTATCATAGGCTCATTGGTGGAGAAGGAGGTGGTAACTCTCACTCAGTAAGTGAAACTGCAGGAGGTGTGGGGTAGTTGTGTTGTATGGGGATTTTGCTGTCTCGCACTCAGTTAGAGAAAAATAACAATTGAATAACCATCAAAAAATTAAAAGCATATGGACAAAAAACATACCATATAATCACACAAGAACGATAGCCAGAAAAGGGAAAAAAACAAAAACAAAACAAAAAGCACTGCAGTATCTGAGGAAAGGGCAATAAGAGAAAAAAGTAGAGACAGGAAATAACAAAGAAAAAATGGAGAAAATGCAAAAAGAGAAACAAGGAATGAGGTTACCCATAAGAAAGAAAGAAAAAACTTGGAAGCAGGAACAGGGAAAAGAATAAAAGCTGAAACCGAGAACCTGGGAAGGGAAGAATAAAGAATGATAATAAAAAGGACAAAAGTAAGACTAATAATTGTTGTTGTTGTTGTTGTTGTTGTTATGTGCCGTCGAGTCAGCCCCGACTCATAGCAACTTCTCCTTGGGTTTCCGAGGCAGTATCACTATGGAAGTAGATTGACCAACCTTCCTTCCGAGGAGTGGCTAGTGGGTTTGAACCACCAGCCTTCTGGTTAACAGTCAAGTGCCTTAGGCACTATGTTACCAGAGCTCCTATAATAATAGTAGTAGTTTTAAAACAGAGAAAAACAAACGAACTAAAGAAAAAAAGGAAAAAAAAATCTGGACAGGGTGGGGCAGGGCACCCAGGCTCTGTGGGAGCACGTAGACTGAGATGGAATTCCTACCAGCCTAGAAAGTGGGTGGGAGTGAAGGATAGCCACACCTCCATTCACCAAGAGGGTATGGGGTATAAAAATAACAAGGGGAATATTGCATCTTTTCAGTAGTCCGTGCATCTGGGATATCTTTGTGGTTCCCAGCAAGCAGAGCCTGTTCTTAAGTCCCTGGAACCTGAGAGATCACTGTTGCTTTAAATATCCAAAATGGTTAAGCCGCTTGTAAACATTCAAAATGGCTGCACCCTCCAGACAGGCAAAATCCACAGCTCCACCTGCCTTCCTCTTCTCTGCTTCTCCTTTTATTCCCTAGCCACCAGAGTTGTCCTCCATGTAGTGCCTGGCTAGCAGGGTTGATTTTTAGATTAATTTTTAGGTCCTATCACCACTTGGTAATATCCAAGCTGCCTGTACTGTCAGGATTGCTGCCAGACCACAGCTCGGTTTGTCTCCTTTTTTGGTATTTTCATGCAGATTCTTCTGCTAGTTGGAGTTTAGTCCACTTCTGTATCCTTCCCTTCAAAGCCCAGGGTTCCAGGATTATATTTTGTATCTGTATTAATTGGTTCCCCTTTTCTTTGTTGAAGAGGGTCTGATTCTATTCCACCATCTTACTGGAACTTGGTTTGCACAGTTTCTTGCAAGCAGTTTTAATTCTTTGCATTTCTTACTTGTCAAACAGTTGTAATTTGACTAAACCTCACCTACCTTTCTGCCTTTTCCCACTTAGTATGTTGTTATGAATTGCTGTTAGTTGCTGTAGAGTCGACTCTGACTCATGGCAACCCCATGTGTACAGAGTAGAACAGCTCCACTTATATTCAGTACAGATATTTGTATGTACAGAATAATTTCAATGTTGTCTCACCAAAGCGATCTGAAGTCTTTCAATGGATACGTAATATATTCTAAACCAAAAATAAATAAATAACCCAAACTCACTGCCATCTAGTCATTTCCAACTCATAGTGACCCCTCCTTGGTTTTCCAAGAC